AAAAAAAAAAAAAAAAAAAAAGTCAGGCCATTACTTTTAGACTCAAATGTTCTAATAAAGTAATGGTTTAAAAATAAATTGAGTTTGTAGTTATATTAAAACATCCAAATGGAAGAATCCTCTTTTTATGTTTAAAATAACTTCAGAAAAGGAAAGGATATCAAGGAGAGGAGTGGGCTGGACTACCCTCAGAAAGTGGTGACTTGTGATGTACAGCAAATCTGTCTTTAATTTGGACATCTTCACTAGCATTGGACAACTGTGATCTGCTATTCAAAAAGCTTGGCTGTGAAGGACAGACGGAGATGTGATAGCAGCTACACATAATATGAAATAGAGGAGGATTTTTTTTTTCCAAATTGTTTTGGTGTTGATTACCTGTGTATGTGCTTTAAGATAGAGAAGAACTGACAATTTGACAAAAGTCAGCAAAAGAAAGAAGTTAAAAGATGAAGGAGAAGTTAAGGAATGGAATGAAGTTCCATAAGAGGCAAAATTCAGAACCTAGGGTCCTCTTCTTCCATTATGATAACAGGAGAAAAGAAAGGATAGAATTAGGTGCAGGTAAATGTATAGATGAAGTGCAGGGCTCTGGGGGATATCTGCTTTCTACCTTTTATTTACTCTGTGAAGAGAGAGGTGACAGCATCTAAGCATGATGGGGGAGTGGATCTGGAGTGGGCGAGTACTGAATTGGCACTGTGTGGAGGAAGGGGAAGAGAGCCGACAGGAAGCACACAGAACAATGCAATGAAATGAGTAAATGAATGAAAGAAGGAAGGAAGATGGTCCTTTTAAAAAAATTGTTAAAACAGACACTCCTGGTGACACGGACATCAGTAGGTACTAACCATGAAGTACTTGAGAGATTGAAACCAGACATACTTATTTTAATCATATTTTATATAAAATAGACATTTACATAAATTTAATTTTGGAAAGACCTAGGCAAAGTATACATCATTAGACTCAATGGAAGAAATACTTTATGGAAGATAAATTCTAACGGGCACAGTCAAAGTAACAAAAATGTACATTTACATACAACTGATCAAAACAGGAAGTATGAAAAAAGAACATGATGCAAATCATTTCCCCCTGACAAAAGGAGGGATCTGCGTGAATTACAGCAAATCAAATGATTTCCACATTGTAAAAGCGAGCCATGGCTTCTACAGATATTTTAATTCCTTAGGAGGAAGTTTCACCTCATCTTTTTTCCCCAGTAAAGTAACAATCACTGTAGGAATTTTTAAGTGCACAGACTGTAAAATAAGAGTAACTACCTCTGCCATGTTCAAGCATTTGGGCAATTCAGTCACTTTTAGGGTTGTATCATTTAAAAAAGGGCAACAGTTATGAATTATCTCATCAGATGCATAGTGTTTTTCAATCCAGATTCAAAAGTAACCATTCGAGTT